GGGGCAGAGGCCGGCGAAGGGCCACCATACCCTCACTGATGGGCGTCCCAGCAGAAAAGAAAGATCGACTGAACCAAAAAGCAAACGGAAAGTACGCGGAAGGCGAATAAGGAAGGAGTGGCCGAGCCAAGGAAAGGGGGGAGGGGGGCACAAGAAGGGAAACTGACGACAAGGAGCGTGGACTACTTCTTGTCCCCACAATACTAGCACAGAGCACTCTTGCTCGGCTTCTGCGTCGTCAAAAAGGCGGCGGGCAGACTTCGAGGCTTTCTTTCATTACGGAGAGGTTCGTCCAAAGCGCGGACCTGGACCGGCGGGCCTAGATGGCAGGGTCAGGTTGATCACGACATTCTAGCATGCTGCAAACCCGAAGCCCCAACACAAGGCCAGCACGGGGCCAGCATAACCCCAAGCAATAGCCCAGAATAAGGCAAGCAAGAGGCCAGCACGACGAGGCCAACACGAGGCCACAGCATGTGCGCAGTATGAGGCCAGTGCGAGATCAGCAAAGAGGCCAGCACGAGGCCAACACGAGGCCGCAGCATGAGCGCAGTATGAGGCAACCATGAGGCCAGCACGAGATCAGCAAAGAGGCCAGCACGAGGCCAGCAGGAGGCCAGCGCCGCCACGGACGGCCCAAGTTTTGAAATAAGGAGCGGGCGAGCGGACGTGTGCTGCCTGCGGGGCCGGCGGCCGCCGGGCGAAGCGGGCCGCCTGCTCTGGACGATAGACTATTTCTATCCAAGAGTCCTCCGAGGCGGGGCAGGGCGGGCCGGGCGGGGCAGTCGTATTGGGCCCTTGCGGCCGATGTGTATCCCCCACCTCGGCCCCGCCCGTGCCACGCGTGCTGCCTGCTGCACAGACCGCTTCATAAATCGACTGACAAAGTCAAAGTTTCGACCAGGTCGGAGCGAGAGAGAGAGGAAAGAAAATAAAACTGAGCAAGAGCGCCGGCGAGCGCGCAAAGAACGCAGTGCAGGAGCCAAGGAGAGGTGGCCGTGCGGGTGCCAGCGGGTGGCCGCCGGGCAGGTAGGCAGCGCGGCGTCAGGCCTGTGCAGCGGGCCTGCATAGCTACGGAAGTGCAAGGGGCTCCTCCAGGACATGGGAGGCCGCCCGGCCGCGCCCGCGGGCCTCCGCCGGCAGCACTTGCAGGAAGTCAGGAAGGAAGCCGCCCCCCGTCCGTCCGGCCGTCTCTGTCGGGCGGCGGCGTCATTGAAGGTCCGGGGCAACACAGCAGCCCGCCGGCACGACGTTGGCGCAAGTGGACTTGTTCTTGACGCCGGCGCCCAGGCCGCGCTGCGCCGCTACGCCCGGCAGCAGTAGTTGGCCGTGCCTTACCTGCTTCATTAAAAACTTTACCTCCTTGCGGAGTCCACTAGCGCGCGGCCGGCGAAGACCCCCCTGAGCGCGTGCGGCCGGGCCGGCGTGCGGCGGTCGGCCGAGCAGGCCTGCCCCTGCCCTCCTGGCCCGCTGTCATCCACAACTTTTTCTTCTCCACTCTCTTTTTTTTTTTAAACCTCCCGCCGTGCGCTGTTTCATCCCTCTCGCCGCGCCCCATTTTCTTTCCTCGCAGCGCCGAGTTCCCGTGAGAGTTCGCTCCACTCCTCCTCGGGGCCACAAGACAGCGAATATGCGAAGTATACGAGTCGGGTATGAAGCATTATTCGCCGCCGCACCGAGAATAGCGAGGGGCGCGCCGCTGCCGCGAGTGTCGAGCTCAACAACACCCGCCGCCGCCGCGCTAGACTACTCGAGTATCTCCGCGGAAAGGGCAACGATGCTGCTGCGGGCCGGAACTTTTGGGGAGAAAGGCGCGCGCGGCGGCGTTCCCGTTTACGTCTCGTGGTGGGTGCGGCGGTGGACAGGGGACGGGGACGGGGCGGAGGAGGGTGCACGACTGGCCGTCGGGGCGGGCGGGGACCGCGGGTGCCAGCGCGCTCCCATAGGGCTAATGTATCCCATCGGCATCGGCTACACATGAAAGGGGCGGAGCCGTCCCCCCGCGTCCATGCCCCGCCCCGCCCCACCGGAATGTCATTGGCAAGTTTTGTCCTCGCTGCTCTGCTGATGCTGCTCCGCCACGAGCGCGATCTCCTATGTTTTCCCGCTTCCTCTTCCTTCGGGCTTTTCTGCACGCACGTGACCATCGTTCGACCCGCTCC